TTCACTCGGTTCCAGTTATTGCCTCCAACTTGAGGCTACCAAAACTTGCGCGCATCCTTTGTGGGCTCTCAAAAGATCGAGAGGCCGGCTAGAAGATTGCAACAGTTGTTAGCTTTGAAAGAGTTGAATCGGTTGAAAGAGTCTAAGTCCTCGGGACAACTGAAGCCCTGAAAAGCGACTGTTCAACCAGTCAGAGCAGCATGACGCAAGTGAATTATCCGGCCCATTTGCATATACCTAAGCGTTTCAGTCAACGCTCGTTGTCAAGCCGGTAGTCAAGGCGTCTCAAGTCAGACATTGTGCCAACACTCACATGTTAATACTTATTTTTACGAAACTTTGTGAAGTCACTCTCTCACTTCGAAACGGCCAGCGAGTGGATCAAACTGTGGCTTTTATGACGGAGACTAGGCGGAATCGGTAGCATCCACCTCGACGAGGGTGTTCTAATGGCAATGCCATTTGGGTTGGATACAGTGAAATCTCGGTCTGTTTCAGATCATAGTCCATCGTCGAACGGCCGGATTAGTCACCTTGTCAGCGCTAATCTGTCGGAATCTCAGGCACTTCTGGTCAAGTTCTCCTCGCGTGTGGAGGCGGCAACTCGACCGAACGTAGCCACTGAGCCAGCCTCGTTGCAGCAATCATCGCCTGAGCGAATTATCATCCTTCGTCCTTCAGGGCCGGTCGGAGTGGGCAAAAGTCCACTTTTCCGACCTGTCGTCGCCTCGGCTAACCCGTCTTCATCAGCCGCACTCCTTTCCAATTCTACCGATCCAGGACTTGATGCTGGTGACACAGAAAGCGAAACGGTTGACGACATTTCAGACACCTACCCCTGCCAACTAAGAGTGCAACATGATACAACCTTTAGTGTGCATTCCCCTTCGTCCTCCCTGCCTCACTCCGCAGGCATCACTCAGCCAACAAACATTGTCTGTCGACCTACCGGACGTCAAAATTGGCCCACTCCCCAATCGACTGTCTCTATGCCCGAACGACAGTCTGTCACGGAGACCCACAAACTTTTCCTCTCTCCCGACAAAAACGATGCCTTGGGTCCACCTCAGGACAGGCTTGTGTATGGTTT